ATCATCAAACATCTATGCCTCATGAGATTAAAAACATCTCATTTTCAAGTTCTAGAATCTGAATTTTAGAGTTTCAGGGCATTTCCAGATGGCCTGTAGTGTGATCCATTCATTAAACAGATGATGACATGGAGAGCCCCAAAGCGAAGAAAGTCTCTCCCCCAGAGTCAGAAACTCTAATGGCAGCGACATCTGGATCCTTTGCTCCCTGCCCACTCTTCTTTCCATCTTATTGCTTTGAAGCTTTTCGTATTATTCTGCACACACCAAGTCCCGCCGATTCCTTTCTGTTGTTATTTATTACGTGCTCACCATTTCTCAGGTGTCTGTGGTTGGATTTTCATGCTAACTTTGATCTTCTAATTCTTTAACCTAATTTTTTTTTTTTTTCACTGCTGGCTTCTTCTCTTTACCTGACCACACACCCATTAGATTTATCTGTCTTGGGTTCAATAGGCAATCTGGGGTGCCATGGACCTTTTGAAGACTTGGGCAAGGAGAACAGTCTACAGTGACCCTCCTGAGACTTCCAAACAAAATCACTGGACCCTCACTCCGTAAAGATAGTTGGGCTTGTCCAAGCGCAAAGAGCGGCAGACACAAAACTCGCTTTTCAGACACCCCTAGACTGGAAAACATCCTTTGGGGGTAAAAATGAGGACATGAAATCGCTTGCTGTGGTACCTTTCATTCTGTTAAGGACACTGAAAACACAGTCTGTCATCCTTGACATTTTAATTGAAAGAAAAGCTTACATAGATTTCAGCTGTAAGCAGTATGTTTATACAAGTGTATAAAGAGGAATAATCTGTCAAGTTGGAAAACTCTTAATGCTACGGGACTCAGTTTAGTAATTGAACAATCCAACATGAGCTCACACATCTTACCTTGTTCCATGCCTCAATAATTTTTAGTAGAAATACTTTACCTAGAGGCATATGGTTATTAAAAAGGAGGCTCGGCTTGCTCAAAGTCTGGAATTATTAGCTCATGGCAACAAGCCTGCACTGGAGAAAGACTGTTGGGTCTTTGTTTTTACAACTTTGCTGCGATTTGCCATCTTATTTTCAGAGTCTAACTCATGTGTTGTTTGGGAAGTTTTTTGTTGTTTTTTTTTTTTTAAAGGAAGAAAGCATAATTTCACATGGATGAGTGACTTCTCATGTTAGCAATACTGCAGAATTTTACTACTTCATTGCCCAGTCCAGGGAGCAGTGTGGATATCAAAGGAAATAGACCGTGAATTTATTTTAGCATAAAAAATCAATAATAGCTTAGTTATGGGAGCCATCAAGGTGTGATGGGGGAAGCCCTGTGTTGCAAGCTGAATATGAGCCTTGCTTCTTTTCATGACCCATATGACCTTGGGCATATTTAAATGTTTCTGAATTCAGCTTACTCTGAATAAAATGGGGGTAATCTGACCTACCCACCACATGGCATTGTTTCAAGTCACAGGAAGGTGAAAATATTTTGGAAAAATATGAAACTGTATAAGTGCAATATAAAAAGTTTCAGGCAAGTGCAATGTGTTAATAATTATTTCTATATACACAAAGGGAATTAGATAATTAATATAATTGTTCTGATACCACTCTTGCTTCAGTGATCAGGATATTCTGGACAAATGATTATTTATTGGGCCAAGCTACATAATTACCTCAATCTAGTCCTTTGTATACCCCGTGATGGGTAAGAGTAGATTTTTCTTTTCTGTCAGTTTTTGTATTTTTAAAAGCCCAAGCAAGAAGCACAGAAAACCCCTCAGTTTTGTTCCCAGCAAGGGTTGGGAAAATTATTTATAGAATCTGTGGAGGGGTGCCTGGGTGGCTCAGTCGGTTAGGTGTCTGACTCTTGATTTTGGCTCAGGTCATGATCTCAGGGTCGTGAGATCAAGCCCTCTGTTGGGCTCCACACTGGGTGTGGGACCTGCTTAAGATTCTTTCTCCCTCTTCCTGTGCCCCTGCCTGCTGCATGTGCACATGTATGCATGTGTGAGCTCTCTCTCTCTCTCTCTCAAATAAATAAATAAAATATAGATCTGTGTAAAACAATAATTGAGAGTTATTTAGAATCCAAACATGCAGAGTTCTCAAATAGCCATTTCTTTTTCAACTATATATTGTTAATTGGTTTGATTTCTATCATTAGGCAATTATTATTATAATTCCAAGGGAACTCAGTACCCTGGAAAGCTTTTTTAATTAATGAAGGAATGCTTGGTATTTAAAAATCTGGTACATCTATGCACGGTATGGAAGTAAGTGTACCATTTCCCAGCTACTCTGTCCAGCTAGTTTTCCTTAGCTGTGTAAAGAATGAAAAGTCATTTTGAGTTTAATTACTTTTTCATCTTCATTCACAAAGTATGGTTTAATTGATTTCTAAGAATGACTCAATAGAAACTGATCACCAAGATTAGCATTAATATATCATGTTGGAAACAAAATGTAAATGATGATAATATGCTGCCATTTCTTTAGGAGGATGATATGACAAATCATCATTATAAAATGTTTTCAATTGTCTTTTTTTTGCTTGTCCCTATCTATATCCAAAGCATTCCTCCCGGTGACTAGGGGAAAAGACATATGGTAGAAGGTTGTATGTCTGTACGTTTTGATGTATCTGTATGTATGCATGGATGTATGTGTGTACATCTCCCTGTCTGGGTATCTGTACACGAGTGGATGGATAGATGATTAACAGCTATCTATAGAGATGGTCTCAGTGAATTTTTCTCCTTATAAAACAGGGCAGTTTAGATTACTAACCTTGCACTTGCAGGAACTGACCATTATTAAAGATGACATATTTTGATATACAGCTATTTTCTTCCCAGCAAAGGTCACAAACAAAACATTAAGGCTGGAGAATATAGGGCACCTGGGTGGCTCAGTCATTAAGCGTCTGCCTTCAGCTCAGGTCATGATCCCAGGGTTCTGGGATCAAGTCCCACATCGGACTCCCTGCTTGGTGGGAAGCCTACTTCTCCTTTTCCCACTCCCCCTGCTTGTGTTACCACTCTCATTGTCTCTCTTTCTATCCAATAAATAAACATATTTAAAATAAAATAATAATAATAAAAAGACTGGAGAATATAAAGCAAACCTTGTCTGTTGACAGAGCCACCATTTATACCTATCTGACTGGAGCTATCCACCTCTGAATGAGGTAGGCTTTAAGACCCAGTGAAGGTACAACCTACTGTAGAGTTTTGGAGCAACTACAATTGGCAGTTTCCTACAGCTCTGAAAGGTGAAGGACCTTCAAAGACCCTACTAATCCTATTGTTAATCTATACTCCAGAGGGCCCCAGGGCACATGTCAAGAAATACCTATAACATGCATTTGCTTTTCTGAAAACACTCATTTTATTGTTGCAGGCTACTTCTGGTTGGCCTCTCCGTGTAACTAACTGTTCATACACACATTCTGGTCATAAAGCTGGGTGTAATTTGTGTACATCTGCAGGGAGTCTGGGTAAAGGTTTTATATTCTTTTATATTTTCATTTATATAACTTCCTGAACATATAAATATTGACTAATTTGTCACTAATCCTTCTAAAATCCATGCGCCTGGAATAGCTAGCTCTACTCAAAGGAGCTGTTAGGCGAAAAGAGTAGAAAACCTAATCTTTGAGATTTCAGCAACAATGCAAAAGAAGATCCTGTTGGCATGATCTCCCTGTTTCAATCCCCACTTCTCCCCAAGTCAGGCACAGGAGGCATTTGAGGTCCAAAGGAGAGCCTTCTCATGCTACTGTGAATGGGATTATCCTTCCCTGAAGCTGAGAAAGGCACTGGGCCACACAGGACATCTCCATCTCCAGTCATTACCCAGCACTTAACATGAACAAATCTTTTTATTTTTTATTTTTATTTTTTTTTAAGAAAATGCATTAATTCTAGAAACAGTAGCTTCATTTATGGCATTCAGGATAAAGTAGTTTAACATGGAAGACTCAGGTCTCTACGGTGGTGGGGGGGGGTGTTTGTTTATTTGTTTTGTTTTATTTGTTAAATCTTTAATTTAATGGTTTGACATTTATACAGCTCCCCAGAGCAAAAGCATCGGGAGATTGAGAATTTAGCTGAGGAGGTCACTTATTTGCCATTTTTCATAAACACAAATAATTTCCTTTTTCCCCTCAGCCACACATTCCCTGGCTCATTAAATCAATTTAAAGTTCTAAATTTTTTTTTCCCCTCTGGCAAATTGAAGCAAAAGCTCAAACTATGTACTCCCCAGAGGAATGCTTACCCAAGTTCTGTGGGTCAGGCCAAAATCAGTTTCTGTCAAACAGCCTAACACCTCCAGTTATTATAAAATGAGGGATTGGTAATCAGGGGCTGGGCTCTGGACTTGTCTGAGAAAGGCTGGCTGCACTGGCATGAACCTCATTCCTGCTACTTTGATCTGTGTCCTGGCTTTGTTTTTGTTGTTGTTGTTGTTATTTTGTTTGTTTGTTTCCACTCACAGTGGAGAACTTCAAGAAAGTCAAAACAGATTTCTATTGGGAATTCATGGATCAAGTTGGCTTTACAGTGCAGACAGTGAAAGTGTGTCCAGGAGGGCTTCTGGGCAGAGGCATAGGAGAGTCCAGATGACGTACACAGATCTCAGTGTCTAAGATCCTCCACAGGGCAGAGAATTCTGAGTAAACACAGGATTTCACCCCCAAGTCCCTTCCCTAAGAAGCAGGAGTTGTAGGAGATATGCCGACTTGTTGACTATTGAACATGTGTTAGATAACAGAGGTCAGGAAATGAAGTGGAATTTGGTGTATTAACTAGGAAGTAGCAGAGGAAGCCAGGCTTGTGTTTTATTTGTTATTATTTCCCTAATATCCTCAATTATGTGGTTCCCATCAGAGGATCTGATCTGTTGCTCTTGTAATGGTGTTGTCCCCGCTGGTTCTGGACACGGGGAAACAGGCAGTGAATCCCCCGCCCCAAGGCATCAGGAATAATGTCTGCTTTTTCTGTGTGTTGCCAGGCCTGTCCCAGGCTCTCTATCTTCTCTGCTACATCTCCACAACAGACAGAGACAGCCCATGCCAGCCTCCATGCCTGGGACCCTGCCCAACCCGACGATGCCGGGTTCTTCTGCCGTCTTGATGCCAGTAAGTGCTTCTCATTGCCACTGAGCCTTGCTCTTTTGAAAGGAGTAAAGGCAAAGCTGAGATTGAAGCTGGAAAGACAGCGACTTCTGGGTGAAGAGCTGAGCTGTGTGCTACTTTGTGGAGAGGGCCTGGTTGTCTGTCCCTAGGCGTCCTGCTGGCTCTCCCGCCCTCCAGTGCTCCCTTAGTGAGGCCTGGCCCCATCTTCCTGCTGGTGACAAGCGAGCTTGCCACACCCAGGGGACAGAATTTGTTCAAGGACACAATGTTTTATGCCTAGCCCAAAATCTATATAGCTTGGGCTCTATACCGAGTGTCCTTAACTCATCAGGGAGTGATCTTGCCAGGACTCAGAGTAACAATTATAATAACAAAAATAATAATGACGGTACAGAATATCTGCTAGTAGGTGTCCCTGCGTATCATGTTCTGTTACGCATGCTCACAACATTTATTAAGGGCTTACCATGTGCTAGTCCCTTTATAGGCACTTCATGAACACCTGAAACAATCCTGTCAGGCACGTGCTATTTCTATCCCCGGTGTCTGAATGAGAAAAGGATGGCAAGTAGCTTGCTTGGCTGAGAAGCAGCATAACTGAGTTCTGATCCCAGGAATCCTGGCGCCAGAGCCCACTGGATCAACCACCGTGTGATACCACTATATTCTCTGCTTTCACTGTCACAACAAACCTGTGAGGGATATACCGTTATTACCCCCATTTTACAGATGAGGAAGCTGAGGCACAGGAAGCTGAGTAGGATGGAGCCTAAAGATTTAAATGCAGGTGGTATGACTCCAGGGTCTATGATCATTACATAATATACCCCCCACCCCTGAAAACAACATATTAGCCTAGAAGGGACATCCAGAGTATCCCAGGGCTAACCTTGCTCTCCTTCCACAGGATCCCCTTCCTGGCCTTGTGTCTTGGGGAGCCTGTCTGGTGTGCTGATTCCTGGGGCCACAGCTGTTCTCAAAAGCCCTAAGAGATGACATGACAATTCCGTGAAAACCCTCCCAAACAGTATCAACAATGCCTGGCATAGCATGTGCACATTTTAAGGAACCGTCTACATTTGTCACTTCACGTTGCTCTCATCGGGATCCTGTGGGAATGGGATCGCGGTAATTACCGACATGCTCATTTTCCAGATGAAAAGCTGACAGCTGTGACGAACCCCCATCTCAACTCACGCTGAGCAGCTCAGGTTCTCGAAGGTTGAGAGCAGTGTGCCGATTTATCTGAGTGGAGGCAGGGGTGGATGAGGGCTGGGAGCCCCAAGTTCAGAGAAATGGACCTGGCTGCTGTAAATATTGGGTTGTCTTGACGAGGAACGCAGTCTTTGCAAAATCGGGCCGGAAGGAACAGCTGAGTTGACACACTTTCCCTGCCTTGCTCTCCCGAGACATCTTCAGATGAGCTACGACAGCGCCACCAATGCCACTTGCCCAGGTTTTATTCAGCCCAGCCAGGCGCACAAAGACTCCCACCATAAGCATCTTCCTTCAGATGCTAAAGCCCCCTTGTCCCAAATTAGTGTCCTATCATAAATTCTATCCATCAGCCAGAAAAATACTACTTCAGTGACCTTTTTTTTTCCGTTTGGCTAAACCGTACTGTTTCCAGGACAAAGGTGGGACGCGGGCAGAGAGTGCGCAGTGAGTAAGTATCTGGCAGTGGTTTCCGCCATATCCTCTCACCGTACAACTTGGCCTCCTGTTAATGCTTCAGAATAGAAGGAAAGGATCAGATACACGATCAAGAGCCAATGTAGACTGAAAGTCAGGGTTGCCACCCCCCACAGGATTTCCCCAGCCCATGTCACCGATATGCCCAGCTGCCATGACAATAGTGTCAGTCTAGAGCACTGATTCTCAACTCGGGGCAATTGCTCGGCACTGTCTGGAGATGCTATTGTTGGTTGTCACCACTGAGAGAAGGCTGCTACTGGCCTCTGTGGGTGGAGGCCAGGGATGCTGTTCAGCATTCTACAATGCACAGGACAGCCCCCACCAGAAACTAATTATTTGGGCCCTAGATGTCAACAGCGCTGAGGCTGAGAAACCTTAGAGTGACACAAAGGTAACTCATGAAAACTGTCATAAAATCTCTTAAAAAAAAAAAAGCAAACAAACCCTAAGAGTTCCTGGTCCCAGAAATCTAGGTCCTTTCCTCCTTGTTATCAAGCTCCCTGCTCCTGGGCTCAGATTTTGGCATTGTAAGCATAGTCTTCCTATAGAGGTCCTGCCTTCGGGGAACCATGATTCCCTTGGTAGAAAAGGTCTGTCTGCAGGCCGAGCTAATATTCTTAACTGATTTGCAGTGCCTGCTACCAGGCCACACAGTTCATAAAATCCTAGGTCTGAAGCAAATAATGCATCTGTTCATTCTACAAACTTCTGTTGAATGCCTGCTAGGAGCGAAGGACTGTGCGAGATGCTGGGGTTCCAGTGAGCAGCAAGTCAGGAGTTCACGGTCCTGTGGTTTCCTATCTTGAAAGTCCAGTGTTTACATCATTTGGGAGTACGAACACTCATGTATAATCACAGAAGCCCAGTGAGGCTGTTGAGACTGTAGTTCCCGTTTTCTAATTTGTTTCAGAGGGAAAGGAGAAGCTCATAAAAAGGTGAAAAATCCTTTACCTGGATGTTTTACTACCAGGGCTAGATGTTGCTTAGTGTCTGGCAAAACCACTCCCATCTTTCTGACTTCTTGGTTCTAGCACCTCACCAAAGCACACTCATGGGGCAGAACCTTATGCGTAAAAGCCGAATTGTTGCCTTGCAGAGAGGATTTTGCTGACCCCCTATCATCACTAAGATGGGAAAATGCAATTTTTTTTTTTAAGTAGAGGAATCAGCCTGTTTTCAATGTTCTGTTGAATTTGTGAGTCATGGATTAGGGTAGTCACAGACTGTAACTTTTCCACAGAGTGGGAAGCATGGCTGATTCTGGATCCTGGGGCTGCAAGTAAGCTGCTCGCCCTTCTTGGTAGCTTGTAGCTTTGTACTTCTCAGTGACCTTCCTTCAGGAAACTGAAAGCGAAAGCTCATTTGGACTTGATCTCCCTCTGAGAGATGGTTACCAGTTGGAATAAAGGGTCAAATGCCTTTCCAGCTCTTCCATCTCCCAGCCTCTGGAAGGGGGAATTACAAGCAACAAGCATTCTGTGGAGCAGTCTTCATGACTTAACAGTACACAGACGTACTTAATAGCACTGAACTGTACACAGAAGCCTAGTTACAGTGGTAAATTTTATGACATGCATATTTTACCAGAATTACAAAAACAATAATAAAAAATAAAATACCCAGACTACCTAGAGACTCAGGGGGCATATGGGAGTGAACATTTTATTTTGCTGAATTGATGAGGCCCCAAAAGGTTTTGCTGGCATTTTCTAGAATGTATAGAAAATTCTTCATCCGATAGCTCCTTTTGAAGCATACACTGCCAGATAACTGATATGCTCTTTCAGGCTAAGGGATGGAGAAGGGTGATTTGCTGTGACAGGGATTGTCCACCCGTCACTCGCGTCATTCCGTGAGCACCTCAGCTAACCCGCACATTAATGCTGTAATCGCAACCCCACACCTGGGGCGGACCCAGCAGGGATTGCAGGGTTGGAACCCGACCATGGCAGGGACCCTGAAGGGGCATTTACCTTGGCTTTCACTCTCCATTCTTGCCTGTGAGGTTTCTGTCCTGCACTCTGGGAAAAGCCCCAGTGATAAAGAACTCCGTATTTATTTCCTCAGCCTCCCGGGGCTAACTTTGAGCAGAAACCGGATTCCCTCAAGTTTCTGAGCCGTTTTCCTTTCCATCCTTCGGCAAGGGGAACTTTTGCATTGAAGAATTTATTTTTTTCCTCTTGAGGAAAGTCTTCTGTGGAACTTACTATTAAGTGTACTTGCTTTCTTCTAGTTCTTTGAAACATGCTCAATTTCTACTCAACAGAAAATATCAGTCAGACATACCCTTCCTTGACTGAAGGAGAGGTTTTACTGTATTTCCTTTTTAACAGGGATACCCTGGAGACAAAAAGGCCAGAACTCATGCAGGTATTTGAAATGATGTTAGTTCTAGGCAAGCCAGTAGGGCAGTGTCCATCATGTGTGGTATGGTACCCTCAGCTGCTCTCTTCACCCCCAAAGGCCTCGCCTATGAGGCCAAAACCTGCTGCTGTGTAGTGTCATGACTAGGTTAACAGGGAAGGGGAGGTGAACCAGGGGCATCAGCTCAGATACCTGTTGGTCATCTTTTTCTTTTTTTTTTTTTTTTAAGATTTTATTTATTTATTTGACAGAGAGAGAAACAAAGAGGGAGGGAGAGCACAGAGGGAGAGGCAGAGGGAGAAGAAGACTTCCCGTTGTGCAGGGAGCCTGACGTGGGGCTCGATCCTAGGACCCTGAGACCATGCCCCGAGGTGAAGGCAGACGTGTAACTGACTGAGCCACCCAGGCACCCCGCTCTTGGTCATCTTGATTGTGTTTATAAGTTACAGTGGCAAGAAGACCCAGCATATTCGAGAGTATTACTTTTTAAGTTAATTTTATGTTTTTCTTATTACTGAAATGATTAATGTTTTCATATAAAATTTAGGGGGGGAGAAAAGCCATGGATAACCTGAAATAACCATTTGGTATATATCCTTGCAGCATTTTTCTATGCATACATTATTTTTTACAGTTATAAAAAGAAGCATGACTCGTGGCAGTTGGAGTGTTTGCAAAAGTGGAAATATTCCATACTTTTGTTTGTAAATGTACCATGACAACATGGTTCTCGTTGGCATGGGGCATCTCCTATAGCAGGCACAGCTTTGGATTAATTCTTTGATGTGCTGGAGTTCAAGGCTCAGAAGTGTGTTACTTACCCTTCCCCAAACCACAGTCTTTCTCTGGAGTTGTTCAAAGAAATTCTAAATGACCCACTTGAAAGAGAAATGCAGCTTTGTCTGGGACCTAGACCACATTTTTTAGACTTCTGATTCTGTTGCTTTCCTTTCTCTTAGATGGAGAGACAGATGTCAGTGAACTCCAACCTCCTGGGAATGCAAGGTCCAAATCTGAGCAACCCCTGTGCTTCTCCCCAGGTCCAGCCAATGCATTCAGAAGCCAAAATGGTAAGTAACAGTTATAATCATCGTTTTTTAAATTTCATGAGTTTTTCTTTTGATCTCTACTCTGACTTCCAGATTTCAGTTAAGTCAGGTAGACGGCTCCGTCATTGTTTCAGTGAGTAGGTCTTTTCCGTGGAAAGGCAATACGGAACTTGGCTCTCTCTTTGAGGATATTTGTTATTGAATCTTGGCATCAGATGACCAATAAGCATTGGCTCAGCCTCAGTGGAAGGGACATGTAGGGGTTTGGGGAGATCCATAGGAGTTAAGGTAGGATACACTCAAGTAGGTGCATGTTTTCTCATAATGTGAAATTAACAAAAACAATCCAGAGTGTCTCTTCTTCAAGGTGGTCACAGTTTCACCATCACTCTTCCTGTCCCCATATCCGTGAAAACAGACATGTGATTTTTAAGGACACACTAGCACAGAAATATTTTTAATTTTTTGTTATAGTTGTCAGACGTGACACTAATTCAAAGGATCACAGCCTTGTTTTTGCACAGGGTAATTGCACCTCTTACTGAAATACATGATTTCAGGCGACAACTTTCGGTGACTTTTAACATTTGAGATTTATGTGCAGGAAGGTCAGTCTTTCCAATCACAGTGAAAGATTTATGCATTATGTTCTATCAAGTATTAATAAAAGCAATGCATGTCCATCTTTGCAATATAAAGTAAATTTGCTGGCTGTATTTAGGAGAGTTACTTGAAGAGGGTTGTTCAGTTTTCATATAGTTAAATTCTGGCGTCACAATTAGTAAGGTCTCAGATGGCAACAAAATATACTGTATCAAAGTTTTTAGATCTAATATTGGATCAGGGTAGCTTTGCTACAAGTCGGAGATTTATTTGGTTTCCTGACTGACAGTGCTGGGGACCGTGTCTGGTGGCTGGTATGAGGATGTTATTGACAGTTCTGAAAATCAGCCACCAAAACCAGGTGACTTCATTTTCAAAGGCAGCAAGTTTTTTGGATGCCTGCTTTTGTCACTTTCTCTTGGAAATCTTACTCATTTGTCTTTCAGCTCCTTGATTCAAGGAAGCGCCCGAATCCCCAGTGTTGGCTACCTCGGGCAAATAAAATCTGTGGTTAAGAGAGTTCTCTTTGCTATGCCACAGTCCCTGTGACATGCCAGATGGCACCGGCATCTTCAGCAAAGCTCGTTAAATCTTTTTGGAATTGGCAAATATTTTTTCAACTCAAGCCCTGCAGAGCCAAACCAAATACTTGCTGGCAGAGTGAAGTTCAAACTGGCATCTGTTTTAGAGACCAGAGTAATGCCATTTACTTCTTTTTTTTTTTAAAGGAAAATAAAAAATGAACTGTGAAGGTACTTAAGAAAAAAACAAAATTAAGTTATTCATGTGTATGAATAAGTGTTCTGGGTCTGAGCATCCAATGCCGCTCCCCCAGCTGGATTATTTCTGAATCATCTTGTTTGGTCCGGGGTCTGTATCCCTTTTGAGGGACCTCCCAGACAAACCTTAGGTGGATTCTTACACATAGTTCCAAACCAAATTTCCCTGCCAGTTGATTTTCACTGGATTATCTGCAACCGCTTGACTCGGAAATGTCCTACCCCTCTCTTCACACGGGCAAAGAAAGAGAATGCTTCCAAAGGGAGTACAGGTTTATAATTATTTATACGTATGAAAGAAAAACACATCACATGGCCACTTATTGTGACTAATATCAGCGGGAGACAAAAGGAAATTGGTCTGTACCTATAAAATCGTGTTTCCCCACAGATGTTTGCCCAGTTAAATTTACTGAGCAAACACACAATTCTGCTGATTCACGCTCTGGGTGGATGGATGTATCTTTCCAGATCCATGATGTCCGGCTTAATGAACTCTATCTTGGAGTTAAGGCTTAGGGAGCATAGTTGTTGTCTCTGTCCTGGGCTCCCAACCCTGACACCATTATTGCCAGTCCGTTATTCCAAGGGGGAAAATGATGGTATTGGCCATTCACATTTTGGAGAAATAGCATTTACTTAGTAGCCTGGAAAAGTGTTTAGTAATTGGCTTTTAATACATTACTCAGCATTTCTATTCTCATTCTGCTTGCTTTATTCACTGGAAGCCAGTTATTCCCTTATACTAACCGACAGTATTTTCCAGCCCCTTCGGGCTGCTCAGATGAAAAGCTTTTACGAAACACAAAGTAATGGAGAAAAAAAAAAAATCTTCCATGATTTTAATGTCAGCCAGAGCCTCCCCAGGTTTCTCTGAACTATGGGCTTTGTTGTTCTATGCCTAATTTTCTTCCTGTGTAAGACTGGAATGGATTCCAGATTTCAACTAAGACTCCTGTTTCACTGTTTTCAAGGACTTTTCTAAAGGTCACACATGGGCTATTGTGATGAATGCACTCTGCGGGCTGTGTTCTCGGAGCACACAAGAAACCAGAGAGCGGCCAGGGAGGGTGTCGCCCACACCACAACACTGCAGATCTATTCTCCTGGGGGCGTTGGTGTCAGAGTGTCTGTTTCACACTCTCTATTGACCACTGACAAAAGCCATCATCCTGCATCTCTGGTGAAACTTGGAGGTCCTGGAGGTGGACAAAAGCTTAAGGCAGGACTGCTTTAACTCTACAGCTTTGTTAGAAGCTGTCCGAATAGTGATTGCTCAGTAGGATGCATCCATCTTTCTTGCCACAAATTGGTCATTTCTATGGTGGAAGAGAGTAAAATAACTGTCCCCAGTAAGCTGTACAGTGTAATAATCTGGGAAACCCAAATCAAGCAGCACCGTGCTCTTTTTTGATTTAATGTATGTGGACATCAGGCAGTAGACTTCAGTAGACTAAAGTCACAGCTATCCACGCTGGTACTGTCATGATCCCGGCAGATTCTAATTGAGACTCATGGATTCTTTTTCTGAAGAATTAAGGCTACAAACCTATGGCTTCATGTTATACAAGTGAATATATGCATATTGGATTTTGTCTTGGAGGTCAGAGGAGACTCAGAACTGTGAGAGCTTTAGCTACTTCTAACCACCCGAAACAATGAGTTTTTCCTCCTAGATTCCTGAGATCAGTGGGTATCTTCCATGAAAGTGGGGTCTGCTAGAAAGGAAGGTCACTGGATACACAACCTTCAGTCTAGACAAACTTAGGGAAGCCGAGGGAATGTTGATACCAAGAAAGTACATATACCTGAGACCTGATTTTGCCCTCAGGACAGTGCCATGACAGGGCTGTTGTCCCCATTTTATAGTTAAGACAACTGAAGCTCCAAGAGGTTTAAAAATACTGGCCCAATGATGCATCACTAGCGAAGGCTAACTAACATCTCAGACTCCACCGACAAAGCTTTTTCATCACAATATTGACCCTTTAGATAAAAATATCTACAGCTTCCTGGTAACGGCAACCAGTAGATTATACTAAAATCTTCGGGGTTCATTTATACTGACAACAAAATGGGAGATAAGGATGGCAAGGACCTCCTGTTTAGGGTTTAGACCTTCAGATAACCTGGAAAAGCCGAGGGGCGGTTGATAGTACCGAATGTCCGGGGCCTCCTTACTGGATTGATCTGGAGCACCCTGAAGTTAACCCTTGCATCATGAAGGTTCCTTGTGCTAAGAGAGGCCCCATGATTGAGAACTGAATTTGATCAGTTGAGTTGAGTTGAATTAAAATAAGGAGAAGGAACCAAACAGTAGCAGTGGGAGTGGGGGTGGGATGGAGTGGGTAAGGGGCAAGGGTGGGTCTCCGAAGGAGAAGATAAAATAGAGAAATGCTAAGCTAAGTAATCAACTAAGAAAGAGTATTTGAGGGGCGCCTGGGTGGCTCAGTGGGTTAAAGCCTCTGCCTTCGGCTCAGGTCGTGATCTTGGGGTCCTGGGATCAAGCCCCGCGTTGGGCTCTCTGCTCAGCGAGGAGCCTGCTTCCTCTTCTCTCACTCTGCCTGCCTCTCTGCCTACTTGTGATCTCTCTCTCTCTCTGTCAAATAAATAAATGAAATCTTAAAAAAAAAAAAAAGAAAGAGTATTTGACTACATCTGATATCTTTGAAGGATATCTAGAAACAACTTCTGGCATGTTTTTTTTTTTCCTTGAAAGAAAAGCAATATATTTGTTACTTAGAACACAGAAGGTGGAATAACACTGACCTCCCAGGAATTGAGAAGGATCAATACTAAGTGCTATTTCTTCCATCGTGATAGGCTAACTGTGCTGTATTTCAATTGTCGACTTGTCAATAACTCATTTATAGTGAGGTTTACAATTTATTGAATAGGTCCATAAATATGTGCATTAATGAGTGAATGAAACAAACAAACAAACAAACAAAATAGAGAGTCAAAGGCTTTTAGAGGTAGAAGGTACTTAGTGAAGACCTTGTCCAAATTCCTTCTTTCATAAGTGAGGGCACCAAAGGCAAGTAAAAACTTAGGGAAATCAAGCCATCATCTCAACACAGCTGGGCCCCTAGTTCAGACTGTCAGGTTTCTACCCAGCATGGTGCCTTTTTCATCAGCTGTACTGATAAATTATTAACAGTGCTTCTTTTCTTGGCCCCTGGTTTTCTGCTGGCAGATAGGCAGACAAGAACTAGGGTGGTATAATGCGCAATCTGTGGTTCAATCTCCACTTTGTTTTGAATGTCAACCTGGGTGTGTTTGTGTTTGCCTTTCCCCTCCCTAATTATCCGAGCTGGATAACTGTTTGCCTATGGTGCCCCTTGGCCACCCACTGTCCAACAGATAAATCACAGAGGAGCCTGGCTCCATATGGAGTTGCCTGGAAAGTTTATACACATGAAAAGACAGTCTCCAGGTAACATCTCCCTGACTCTCCTAAGAAATGCCGCTCTGCGATTTGCCTATTTGCTTTAATCATCCCCAGTTTCACTTCCTAAAAGTCCAGGAATAAAAAAAAATAAAATTAAAAAAAAAAAGTGAACGAATGAGCTGTCTGCTTCTCAGAAGCTTTGTGGTGAGGCAGGAAATACTGTTGACTTTAAAGAAACTCTCATTAAC